TAGTTCTCCATTCCAGATTGGTTTTTCCATTTTCTACAAAAAGTTTTCCATAGAACCTTTGCTTCCAAGCTTGACCACAGTTTTACCCAAGGCTGATGACACCTTGTGGGGAGACCTGAGAGGCCCCCAAAATGCCCTGCAGATGGCAGAGTCAAGGGTAGGAGTGTCCTGGCATTGTCCATCCCAGCTCTCTAACCCCTGGTACACATATCATCACTCATTCACTTCCAATCCCTTTTCCATGTGTACCTTTCCCCCAGCCTTCAAAAAGAAATGTTTTTAGTCAGGTCGGAAGCTTTATAGAAGAACTGAGATGATAAGTATGGACTCAGTTACCTTAGGGAGCATTTCTCTGACATCTTACTGCTTTGAAGATGGAGACAGCATTTAGCAGTGACAGAAGAAACTTTACATGTTACCTGAGGAGTCACCTCAAAGTGATTTTAGGAGAGGAAGCTTTTTTTGTATGGCAGTGTTCAGTAGGGAGAGAGAAAAAAAGAGTCTTCAAAAGGAAAATATGATTCTCTTAAAATGAGGGTGAGCTAGGCAACATTTCCAGGGACACCAGTATCCATCTTGTCTGTAGGGTGTGAATGGGTAGGCTCCCTTGGTTTTCCCAGTGGGTATTGTCACCTCATATAGACATCCACATGTGTATTCATGTGGACCAGCAAAAGTGGCATGCTCTCTTGTAGTCTTAAACATCTAGAATGAGCACTGGATACATAAAACAAGATGATCTATTTAGACAACTCTTTTCAAATAATCTGCTTCATCTTTCTTAGAATTGGATTATTGTTGCTTAGAGGCAATTGCTGCTTATTGTGTAACCTGTAATCACAGCCCTGCTTCATAGAAAAGTCAACTTCTGCAACTTGTATATCCTGCTGAAACATTGTTCTTGTGATTTTTGTACAACTTTTACTTTCCTTTACTAAGTATAAAATCTCACATCAAAGAAATAGTAGCCCTTGTATCCACTAAGAGACAGTTAACAGAACTAAAATAGATCTGGCAGTGGCAAATATGGATGTTATTATTTTAAAGCAAAATAAATAGGTACTAACTTTATATCAAAAGGAAAATTTATGTATATCCAGTTTAAAATTTTCTCACTGCCCAAATCATAATAAATTGGGATAAATTTCTTTAAAAATTGCTGGGCTGGGTGCCATGGCTCTTGCCAGTAATCCCAGCTACTCAGGAGGCTTAGACAGGAGGATTGCAAGTTTAAGACCAGCCTAAACAATTTAGTAAGACCCTGTCTCCTCAGTATTGGAGAGATAGGTAGTACTTGGTAACTGAGGTGATTAAATGCCAAAGGAAAAAAAAGGGATACAAAGAAAATGGAGTTTTAAATGGAGTAACAAAGAGAATATTAAATATAAGAGACTCTCAAGGAAGTTGTCTGGATTTGAGTACAAAATGTCTCTGGCACATTAAATTGGGAACATGTACAAATGTTCAGATAGTGAGATTGGGAGAAGAGACCAGGCCCAGAAATTTTATTCCACCTACTCTTAAATGATAAAACCATCACTTAGTGCCAAGCTTAAGCTGGGCATAGAGGCACACACCTCTAATCCTAGCTGCATGGGAGACCAAGGAAGGAGGATCTCAAGTTTGAGGCTAGCCTGAGCACTTAGTGAGACCCTATCTCAAAATAAAAAATGGGCTGGGAATGTGGCTCAGTGATAAGAGTGTTAGCTTAGCATGTGTGAGGCCCTGGGGTTTAATCTCAGGACTACACACACAAAAGTAAAAGCTATTTTTTAGTGCCAAGTTTCAAGTGGATGAGCTTGTCAAAAAGATCCTACAGAGGGAACTTCCAGTCTTAAAATGGAATAAGAGGAAAAGAAACCAGGAATGCATTGAGTGCAGTGGCACACACCTATGATTCCACCTGAGAAAGAAAGATAGCAAACTAGAGGTCAACTTCAGTAATTTAGAGAGACTGTGTCTCAAAAAAGGGGTTGGGATGTAGTTCAGTGATAGAGGAGTACCCCTGGGTGCAATCCCTAGTAGCAAAAAGAAAAAA